AAATGACTGAAGCCACTTAGCATGCATATATCACTTTTATAGAGGTTTTCCTAGATTCTTCCAACTCTTGGTACTATATATGAGCTTATTATACTTGCTTTTTGCAGGTACTACACTTTAGGAAACTATCCACAGACTTTCCTGCAATTCTTCTCTCTTGCAGGGCTTTACAGCTCTTTCATGGGCAAGAAAGACCTTTGCTCTGGATCCCTGTGGGATGAGAGATCCATAAAGCCAAGAGAACAAGCTTACCCAGAGACTGCATCACCTTCTAGAGTATTTCGTGCCCCAAAGAGCCCTCAGCCTGCTCCCAGGACCCACTCTGCACCATCCTCCTGAAGGTGGACCATACCATCTGGTCTCTGCCCCAGACCTGAGGGTGGCCAAGGGATGCTGGAGGTGGTGGACAGGGCATGACTGTGCAGGCTGTGTAGATGCACAGGGAAGGACCTCAGAGAGGAGGGGACAGAGCCAGCCAAGGGGAAAGGAGGGACATGGACATAATCACACTCCAGGGCTGGAAGCTGGATCTTCTTGGGTCAATGCCTCCAAAGAAAAGGAGAATTTTAGATTTTAGTTTGGCTTCTAAGTCATTATGGAGGTAAATTTGTCAAGGCAGAAGAATAGAGCATGTTCTATTTAACAATTTGTAAGCTTGATTGATACATTTAAGATATTTAGCCTATTATACATGGACCTCCATTTGTAGTTTTGCACAGGGGGTTCCAGCAAAACTTAGGAGTGGGTATGTCCCAGGCAACCTTTTCACTCTGTGTCTGATTGTGAATTTCCACCTGTTCTTTTTATGATGAGGGCAAGCCAAAGCTGGTCCTTCCTGACCCTTGAGTATTCTTTTTAGATGTTCCTGTTTGGTCTTGATATAACCATGCCTCTGCTCTCCTATTTTGTGCTGATGATAATAAAATGTCTCCACTGGGATAGAGAGTCATCCCAATGAAAAGACTGAGAATGAACCAGTGGGACAAGGATCATGGATCCAAAACACACTTCCACAGTCAATTTATCTCCTGACAAGGGAAGAAGAGGTGTGGGTTCAGGCAAAGGGCTTAGTGGGGTGAGGGCAGATAGTGTCTCTCCACGGCGAGGCTTCAGTCTCCTCACACACACCCGTTTGTGCTTGGTGTGGCAGTAGACGTCCATGCCTTCCCATACATGGCTCTCACCGAAAGATCTGATGTTGATGGGGTATGGGTAGTAAATGCCTCACATGGCCCCAATGACAAGAAACTATTTCCATTCTTGTGTGAGTAGAAGAAAGGATTGCCCAATGAGCAGGGATATCACAACCCTGAATCTATTTGGAAATTTTCAAAGGTAGACAAGATGCCTGAAAATTAATGCAAATTATTGAAAATTATTGACAAAAGTAATTTGGTCAGATATAAACGCATCTTAGTGTTTCCTTTCTGCATGTGGGAGGGGACTGTGGCCTTTCTTTTCTCCTGCCCCAGTGTCCTCTCAGCTGGGAGGGCAGCCGAGTCTTTCTGGTGATTCATGCCACCTTCTGTTTTCCATAGGCATCCTGCCTGAAGACTCCCCACACCCCATTCCCTCCCTTCCCCCTTCAGGGACATAATGAAAGTGAAAGTGGCTCAGTCATGTCCAATTCTTTGGGACCCCATGGACTATGCAGTCCATGGAATTCTCCAGGCCAGAATGCTGGAGTGAGTAACCTTGCCCTTCTCCAGGGGATCTTCCCTTCCCAGGAATCAAACTGGGGTCTCATGCATTGCAGGCAGATTCTTTACCAACAGAGCTACAAGGCATAAGTAATGAATGAGTTCCTATTTCCCCTGTGGTACATCCATCACTGCTGAATTAATCTCACTTCCAAAAATTCATTTGCTCAAAGGCAACCTCAGTCACCCTTTTATTCTCTCTTGTTTTCTCTTTGAAATCTCATCCAAATGTTTCTGCAAAACCTTTCTTCTTTTTCTCTTTCTATTCTATTTGTGGATCAAAAATTTACTTCCATCATAGTTGAAGCAGAAGTGGGCCCATTTGAAGAATGTTAAGAATGGAAAATATCTCCTTTTATGTATTTGGTACAAAATGTGTCTTGATCTTGTTCTCCATGGCTTACTGTATGCTGGTTAAATGCAACTTCATTTTATTGAGAAGCACATCGAGTCCTGGGGATATTTTACAAGAGTTGTTTGTCAGTTCCACAAGTACAATAACTAAGTAAATATTATAATTCTTTTTTATAGTGTTGCTTTAAAGTACTCTTAATGTAAGGGGATTTGAAATAACAATACAAGTGAGATAATGAAATACTATCAGTCACTAAATCAGGAGTTTTGAAAATAGACTTTCAGGTATCTGAGAAATTGTAAGCAAAAGTTGGAGTGTAGACACACATATTAATCATTAATTTTACTTTGTGTGGCAATTTACTTTGTGATTGCAATTTGCTCAGTCAATAATCACCTCTCTTTTCTTCCTTAGCCATAGAACCCTTATTTTATTGGACATAACAAATCCAACTGTAACGTCCAAATTTCTGAACCTTCACTGCTTGTTGGTATGGCTGTGCCTGAATTCTAGACACAGATTTAAGCAGGAGACGTTGGATGGGGCTTCCAGGAAAGCACATTAAAAGAAGGAAGAATGACTAACCACATTTCCTCTTACTCTTTCACCCTGATACTTCTTCCTGCCTGGAAGGCAGACATGATGGTTACATTCTGGCAGCCATATTAGACAACAAAGAGGCAGCATTGAAGTTGGAAGCCATTCACCAGGGATGATGAAACAGAACTTCAGAAGGAGTCTGGGATTTCTCTAAACTTGTTTATGCAGGATAAAAACAACCCCTATTTTAAGCTGCTGACATATGACTTCTGTTTTTTGGAGTTTAATCTAATACTAGCTGATATGTTCCACTGCTCTCAAATGCAGGAAATATCACATTATTTTATGAAAACAATAAGAAATGAATTTCAAGTCCCACTGAGCCTTTGGTAAGAAATTAATAGATGCAGGGAAGTATAACACATATCTCTGGATTTGCCCAGAAAATGTGGAAGAAAGCATCTGGTATTTGGCTCATCACGGTGGGTTGCTACCTTGTCTGTAGAATGGAAGGTGAAGTGGAAAACCAAAAAGGTATGAAATAGAAGGATTTTGATCTTGATTTGGGAGGAAGAAGGAAATCAAAACCTACTAGGTGGGTGTATAGCTAACGCCTTGCTATACATGCTCATAAGGAGCATGACTTAAGAGAAAAATGGTCTCAACAAAAAGACAACTTATGCTAATGTCTTTTAAGTAAGTTGAACTATTATGGATTTTACTATATCATAGTTACGTAAAAAAGGCAGACATAGCAGATAAGACAGATATCTGACCTCTTGCCATCTGAAGTCAAGGATGAAAAGGAGTTTGATGTAAGTAATACATGTATGACAGTCCTTATACAAATCTAACACTGGCCTCTCACTTGAAATTAAGTAAGATGTATTACTCCCCAAATATTTAAAACCACTGCTGAGTGGTGGGGGGCGGCGGTACCAGTCCCAATTTCTAATTATTCAGCCGATGTTCAGATGATTCTACCTCTGTTTTCCCATCTGTTTAATGGTCACAAAGGCATTTACCTCCACCCCTAAAGAGGCCTGATTAGCATCAGTGATTTAATGCTTATCAGGGTTGGTGGAGCAAGACAGCCACAGAGACCAGTTGTCACTGCTGTTACAGTAATGATGATTGTCTGGGGCCCGGGTGTGTGTGAACTCACAGAGGTCACAATCTGACAGGCTGGCTCCCTGGCACTTTTTGCCTGGCACTTGCACCTGCCCAGGGAACAGGTTATGGAGTTCAAGCTTGTTTGGGTTTGCAGCAGGTAATGATAGTTTCACAGGAGGTTGTGTTGTTGAATTCGGAGCTGGAGTTTGGGCGTTCACATCTAATTAATTTGACCCTCTGACTCATTCCCCTGCCTGGAGCCGAGAACCAAGTCTGAACACAAGGAACTTGAATCACTATTTTTTTTTCCCCCGGCAAAGCTGTCCAATGGCCTTATTTTCTCTAAATGCTAACTGTGGTCACATTGAAAGAAAGCCCAAGTGGGGTCCTTCTGAGTCAACCACTTCATCCCTTTATTTCTTTTCAGCCTACTGTATTCCTTTACAAGAAAGAGAATTATTCGACTGAATAGGTTTGCTAACACAGTACACAGATTGCAAGGGAAGTCATGGATGAGTCAGGAAATCATTTTAAACTTGTGTTTTTGGATGAGGGAGAGATACATTCAAAGAGCACACCACTGATCTCTGCTAACTGAGTCTGAGTTGTCAAACTCAGAGGATGGTTGAGTCCCCAGGTCCTGAGATGATGTGACAAGAGGCGTGATGGGCTTCAAAGGGCCAGGAACTGCCAGGAATGCCCCACCTCCTCACCTACACAGCTTTTCCTCATGGTGTCTGCTGTCCCCTGACCACAGGCACTTGTCCAAAGGCAGAGTCCCGGAGTGTACTGGCCTGCAGAGCATTTAACATGAATGGATAAGAAATTGCAGCAAGAGCTGTCTTCTCTGGGCTCAGGTCTTCTGCGATCTGTAAACTACTTGGTGGATCCTGAGCTTCATTCTTCCCATGACTCCTGCACTACATGATGTCTTCCTTTCCTGGGACACAGGGCATTCATTTCCCTCCGTGAAAAGGGCTGTGCTGGAAGGCAGCTGGGCCAGCCTGGCCAAGGAGTTGCAAGATGTGAATGAGAGGTGAGAGGACCTGATTGACTTATGAGTAGGCAAATCGTGCATGTTTACAATGTCAGGCAGTAGGTGGAATGCAGACGGGATAAAAAGGAGCATTGAGCGGTAGCAGAAGCTGCCGGTGCTCTGCCCACAGCCCTCGTCTCAGGCTAGACTTTCTCTGGATGCCGTGGCACCGGGCCACTGCAAGAAGTGGGGCAGAACGTCTCTGGAGTTAGTAAGCCCCCTCCAATACCCTGGGAACTGGCTTTAGCCAATGAGCACCCGGCTAGCTCAGTCAGTAGAGCATGAGACTCTTAATCTCAGAGTCATAGGTTCGAGTCCAATGTTGGGTGGCATAAAATTTGGGGAAAGAAATGGCAATCCACTCCATTATTCTTGCCTGGAGAATTCCATGGACAGAGGAGCCTGGCGGGCCTAGTCCAAGGGGTCGCAAAGAGTCAGACACGACTGAACGACTAACACACTTTACTGTAATGATAGACAGGATCCGGTGGACAATTGCTCAGGTTGCGATGATTCAGAAGCAAGTGTTTTAGAGCGTTCCCCAGGTAACCTACTCAGCAATGCACCTTCCACCCAGGCATGTGCTGAGAAAGCCTTAACAGCTGGCTCTCCAGAAAAGCACAAGTGTCGGCATTCATAGCTTTGCTGGTTCCCACCATACAAACACTCCCACCCAGCTGAATTCAAAGTGTCAGCTGTGTCAATGCCACCCTAAGGGGTTGGCAGCTTTGGGAGCTAGCTGATAGGAAAACCCGCTAAAATAGTTATGGAGCCAGTAGTGTTAGCAGCGCCTTTTGTTTTTATACAGTTGATGTAATTGCATGTTGATATCACAATTTTTAATAATAGCTGGCCTTAACAGCTAGCTTGCAAAATCCTGAAAATTTAACAAGCTGGCTCTCTGCTTCCTTCCCCTCCCCTGTCTGTCTTCACTCCCTTGTGCCTCCAGGGGCTGCTTCAATTAATGACTCTCATTGGCTCTTCTAGGGGGGAAGAAGAACTCCTCCTAAAGAAAACCAGCCCTTGTGGCTGCTTCATCTACACTTAGGTCAAGCTGACCTCAGACTTGGTCCTCGACCCCAGATTCTAGCTTTCTTCTGCTGGGACTTTCCAGTCCCTTGTGCGACTCCTCTCATCTCCTGAGACAAAGCAAGCAGGACCCATCCCAGCTCTCTGACTGTTTCTTCTTCCTAGAAACATGAGGAGCCTCTGTCAGACTGGTGGGCTGGGTACCACTCTAGTTACAAGTGCCCTACATCTAGGCGATGTCAGAGGGTGTGTATGCATGTGTACATAAGTGTATAAATGTTTAAGCATGTATAAGAGAATGTGCACAATTGTATATGTGTAAATGTGCATGTGAGTGTGTGTATATATTTGTCAGGGTAAGTTGTGTGTGACTATATATGAGTTGTATGTGCATACATATGTGTTTGAGCAACCATCTGTGTTTGAGTGCATGTTTGTGTATGAGCAGGCTTCCCTGGTGGCTCAGATGGTAAAGAGCCTGCCGGCAAAGTGGGAGACTTGGATTCAATCCTTTGGTGGGGAAGATCCCCTGGAGGAGGAAATGGCAATCCACTCCAGTATTCTTGCCTGGAGAATCCTGTAGACAGAGGAGCCTGGTGGGATGCTATCCATAGCATCGTGAGGAGTTGGACATGACTGACCGACTAACACTTTCATGTGTGAGGGTGTGTGTGTAGACATGTGTGTTTGTGTAACTGTGTACAGGTGTATTAGCGTGTGAGTCTTATGTGAGTGTGTGAGAAGAATGCGGGTAGTTATGAATGTGTATGGGTGTGTGCGTGAGTGAGCGTGTGTGGTATCAGCACCTCTTGCCTCTTCCTCTAGCAGCAAGCTGCATGCTGTCTTTCTTTGGGGCGCCACCCTCAAGCCCCATGTGGTTCCTTCAGAGCTGACAGTTGGGGTGGCCTGACCCCACATGGGCAGAGAAAGGAGAGAAGGGGCACGGGGGCTGGGAGAGCTGACCAGTACCTTTATTCTTAGCCACAGTGATGGATCAGGAGAACAGGAGGCATGAACAAGGTTTCGGGGAGTCTCATATGGAGGGGCTGTAAGACAGAGAGTATCCTTGTGGAAACTGCTGCTCAAGGGAGCGAAGAGTAGGGGTATGGTTGGGAGATGCTTAGCACTGGTTCATCTGGCAAAAACAACAGTGATGCTGAGCTAGGTGAGGGGATTGAGGAAGGGAGATAAGGGGATAGCAGTCATGAGGATGGTTGTATCATTAGGGGCATTAGGATGAATCATCTGCTTCCCAAGGTCTTGGGGCTCCCCCAGAACCTGGGCTCATGCAACTATTTGCCTTGTGAGACATGGTTGTGATCAGCATCTGAGAGGGCTAAAGATCAAGGAATTGTACCCCAAAAGGGTTACTGACTTCCTGCCTGGGAAGAGGCACAGCAAGGATGAGATGGGAACAAGATAAAACAGATCCAGGGCGCCTCCCCAGTGCTCCCGGGCCTGAGCTGCCTTGGATGTCGGATGTATTCTGCATTCTGTCCATGCTCAGGATTACTAGCCGTGACCCCAAGGGAGCTGAAAGCTAGTTTCACGGCTCCCTGCAACAAAGGTGCAGATTCTCCCTACCGTGCCTGTGGTCTAGCGACCTGGCTTCAGAAGATGTAGGTGTTGTGAGCAAGGATCCTCTGCACCTTCCCTCTGGCAGGCTGCCAGGAGGCATGCGGCTTTGAAGGGCAGTGGTCCAGAGGCCAGAGAGGGGCATCCTGTCCTGTATCCGAGCCCCAGTACCACCTGTACCGTCATGGCTCAGAGCTACCCTACCTGGTCCGTAGGCCCTTCCTGGGATGCACGCTTTCTTGTGCTGTTTTATAAATGCCTTTCCTGCTTGCCTCGGCGAGGGCAAGTAGCTGTTGTTCGCTCAGTCATCTCCAACTCTTTGCGACCCTATGGACTGCAGCATGCCGGCTCCCTGTCCTTTACTGTCTTCCAGAGCTTGCTCAAACTCATTTCCATTGATTTAGTGATGCCATTCAACCATCTCATCCTGTCACCCCCCTGTCTCCTCCTGCCTCAATCCTTCCCAGCATCAAGTTCTTTTTGAATGAGTTGGCTCTTCACTTCAGGTGGCCAAAGTATTGGAGCTTCAGCTTCAGCATTAGTCCTTCCAATGAATATTCAGGTTTGATTTCCTTTAGGAAAAGCTAATTTCACAGCTCCCTGCAACAAAGGTGCAGATTCTCCCTACCATGCCTGTGGTCCAGCGACCTGGCTTCAGAAGATGTAGGTGTTGTGAGCAAGGATCCTCTGCACCTTCCCTCTGGCAGGCTGCCAGGAGGCATGCGGCTTTGAAGAGCAGTGGTCCAGAGCCAGAGAGGGGCATCCTGTCCTGTACCCGAGCCCCCGTACCACCTGTACCGTCATGGTTCAGAGCTACCCTACCTTGTCCGTAGGCCCTTCCTGGGATGCACGCTTTCTTGTGCTGTTTTATAAATACCTTTCCTGCTTGACTCGGCGAGGGCAAGTAGCTGTTGTTGTTCGCTCAGTCCTCTCCCAACTCTTTGCGACCCCATGGACGGCAGCATGCCGGCTTCCCTGTCCTTTACTGTCTTCCAGAGCTTGCTCAAACTCATTTCCACTGATTTAGTGATGCCATTCAACCATCTCATCCTGTCACCCCCCTGTCTCCTCCTGCCTCAATCCTTCCCAGCATCAAGTTCTTTTTGAATGTGTTGGCTCTTCACTTCAGGTGGCCAAAGTATTGGAACTTGAGCTTCAGCTTCAGCATTAGTCCTTCCAATGAATATTCAGGTTTGATTTCCTTTAGGATCAACTGGTTTGATCTCCTTGCAGTCCAAGGGACTCTCAAGAGTCTTCTCTTAAAGAATTAGGGCAAGGAGGATTGTTTGCAAATACAGGCTCAGGTAAGTAACTGTGTTGTAGACTGGCCTCTGCTGTTCCATCACAGAACACACCCCTGGCTTCGTCCTGCAGGCAAAGGGCAGGTTAGGTCTCAGTCGCTCAACTGGGACTGGCAGAGGAACAGGAGGATGGGCTGTTGCTAAGAGACGGAAACTGCAAGGACACTGACAACAAGATTTCTTCCCCGAATCTGTGTGTTGGACCAATCCAAGAACCAGGGCAATAATGGAGAGGGATGGGTACTTAGAACAAGAATTCCATGGACTCTGAGAACCACATGATGCCTTATCATATCATAAAAAGCAATGTAATCTGAGTTCTTTCTGTGTGCCAGACAAGTGACGTTACATCATCAAACCATTATGGTCCCTGGAAAGCTATTAAAAAGCCATTAGTATCCCTGGGAACTAGATGATGCCCCTAACTCAGGTAACCTCAGGCACATAAGGTGACAAAGTAACAAGCTAGTCAGTGAGAGAGGCAGGAATTCTGAGTGTTGTCCCAATCCAGAGTCACTCTGGGGTAGGGGCATGGGAATCTGCATCTTAACTACTCCCCTCTTCCTCGCCCCCACCAGAGGGTTGGTTATGCACCTTGGTTGGAGAACCATTGCTTTACTTAGAGAGCGTGATCACTATATTGTGAAACCTGACTTCATTTTTACATATATTGTCTGCATCTGATTTCTAAAGGAGGCATGCTTTTGAGATTCTACCCTGTGTCACCCGACCCAGGCATGGCATCCACCAGCCCCTTACCTGAAGCACCTTTAGCGTACACTCAGGCCCTCTTCAGCCCCCCCTGAGTTCTGTTGTCTGAATGTTTGTTTCACACAGGTTGCTTGGTTGTGAGAAAACCTTGATGAAATCAGCATGCCCTTGGACATGTTTCCAGTTGTCCAGAATCAATTCTGGTGAACCTGGGGTAAGTTGTAACAGCCATTCTGTTTGGACCTGGCACACAGAACGCTCAGTGGAAAACTGTTAAGTGCTGATCACATCATTTGTTTTGTTCCCAAAGTAAAAGGAACAGAACATATAGGTGGATAGACCTGTAGGGGCAGCCATGTCATTTCAGACAAAAACAAGCTGTTTCTGACACACTCAAGCACTAGATATTTGTGAATTCCAGGGACTATTTTGTTCTCATTCTGTTTGTTAAAGTCCCATTCTCTGAATTGAAAACATGTCTTCAAGCTTGCTTTCCCTGGGTGAGGGAACAGCCGAGATGGGAGGAGAAAACACATTTTTTAAAAATTAACTTTTATTGGAGTATAGTTGCTTTACAATGTTGTGTTAGCTTCTACCGTACAGCAAAGTGAATCAGTTATGTGTACACATATATCCCCTCTTGTTTGGATTTCCTCTCCATTGAGGTCGCCACCGAGCCCTGAGCAGAGTTCCTTGAGCTACACAGTAGGTTT